CCCCCCCCCCCACGGCCCCCACCGGGCTGCGGCTCGCTCTGTGTGGCTCGCGGAGCTGCCGTGAGGGCTTGCTGCTGTTGCCAGAGCCCTGCTGACCCCAGTGCTCTCTGCTCCCACCCGCAGAAGCACAGCGATGACTTTGACACGGTGGCACTCTGGCTTGCCAACACCTGCCGGCTCCTGAACTGCCTGCGCCAGTACGGCCGGGATGAGGTATGGCTGGGCTGCAGGGGGTCTGCCACCTCCCTGGGGAGGGTGGGAGCTTAGTGGGGACAGGGTTTGTCCCCATCTGGGGCTGCATCTTCTTTGCCCCCAGCCCAGGTAGATGGGGATGTGATGGGCTCCCTGTTTGCTCGGGGACCCTGCTGTGTCCCCTGGTACTGCTGGCTCTGACCCAGCCTGTGCCCACAGAGCTACTGGCAGGGGAACACGGCGCGGCAGAACCAGCATCGCCTGCAGAATGTGGACCCCCAGAGCTCCTGCCGCAGCCTGGATGCCCTGGCTGTCCAGCTCTACCAGCAGCTCATCCGCACCGCCGAGAAGCGCCTCAAGCCCATGATTGGTATGGCCTGGGCCTGGGGGGCTTGCAGGGCACTTGTGGGATACTGGTTCAGGGCGGGAGCACTGCGTGAACGGCCTGCTCTGTTACAGAGGCTGTACCCAGGGGGGAAGGTAGGCTGTGAATCGTGGGCCTCCTTCTAGGAGGGACCCTCTGCTCCTTGAGCCTCCTGGCTTGGAGGAGGTGGCTGGGGAGCTAAAGTGGGCTCAGCAGCCTGGGGACCTTGGGCTGCATCCGTGAGGAGCTCTATTTCCCCATGCCCTGCTTTGCAGGCTCATGGAGCAGGGCCAGCCCCTGGGCTAGCCTGGGCCAGCTAGTCTGGAGGTGTCATCGGCCCCTGCATCCCAGACTGGGACACAAAGCAAAGGAGCAGCGTACTGGCTGCTTGAGGCACAATGCAGAGTCTCTGCCTTGTTCTGAGGAGCCTTTTCTACCCTTTAGTTGCTGCAATGCTGGAGAGTGAGCCCATACAGGGCTTGTCCTCCTCTTGCCCTCCTGGCCATCGCCGGTCCTTGGCAGCCCCTGCCCACACCCTGCCTGAGCTGCTGCAGCAGCTGGGCTCCTTCCATGCAGCGCTGGATCGCCACAGGCTGGCCCCCAGTGTGGGGCACCAGGCCCTGCGCCAGCTCCTCTTCCTCATCAGCGGCACCACCCTCAACTACCTGCTGCTGAGGAAGGACACGTGCTCCTGGAGCCGCGGCATCCAGCTCAGGTCAGTCCCCACGCAGGATGGGTGAATCTGGGGGAGCTGGGGCATGGCCGGTGCCTCCCCCTGACCTGGGCTCCCTGGCAGGTACAACATCAGCCAGCTGGAGCAGTGGCTGCGGGCAGAGGGGCTGCAGCAGAGTGGGGCCCACGAGGTGCTGGAGCCCCTGGTCCAGGCTGCCCAGCTGCTGCAGGTGAAGAAGGTGACAGAGGAGGACGCTGGAGCTCTCTGCAGCCTGTGCACGGTGCTATCACCCCAGCAGGTACTGGGAGGGCTGGGGCTCACTGCCTGCTGGGCACTCATCCTATTCTGGGGCTCCTTGGCCTTCCTGGGTGCACCAGGGATGCCCTGGCACTAGGCTGGGGACCACACCATACCCAGAAGTGTCTGGATGTGCCCAGCCCTTCCCTGTTCATGGTCCCCACCATCTTCTCCAGGTTGTGAAGATCCTCCGGGCTTACACACCAGCTGTCGGGCTGGAGGAGCGCATCAGCCCCAGCTTCATCAGCAGTGTTGAGGTAAGCAGGACCTGGGGTCCAGTGCTGGGGGGGAGGCTGTCCCACATGGGCCCTCTCACTGGGGCAGCCCTGGATGTGAACGCTCTGTCCCCACAGAAGCGGCTGCAGGACCAGTATGGAGGGGAACCCAGCCACCTCCTGGTGGACACCAGCCACCTCTTCCCTGTGCACCTGCCCTTCACTGCCTCCCCTCTGCACCTGGATGAGCTCCGCATCCCTGATGGCCTCAACCTGGCCTTCCTTGTCTGCCTCTGAGCCCAGGTCCAGCCCCGGGCCACTGCCAGTGCCCCATCGAGGGGTGTCTGAACCCCCTGAGGTGTGGGAAGGCCATCAAGGCTGGGGGTGCAGCACTTCTTGTGTGTGCCATTCTTCTGGGAAGCTGTTTATTTATTGAAACTCAGGTGCCTTGTTTGTGGCACAGTCAGGGCCCATGGCAGTCCTGCGCTGGGGCTTTTGGCCACTTTTTAATCTTTTGAAGTTAATAAAAGTCTTTGCAGATAACTCTGGAGTCTGAGGCTGGCTGAGGTGGGTGCACTGTTTGCAGGGTGGTGTGAGGGAGCTTGAGGACCATCACAGGCCTTCCTTGGGGGGTTTTCATGAATTAAGGAATGGTTTGGGTTGGAGAGGACCTTTTAAAGATGATCTAGTTCCAACCCCCTGTAATGGGAAGGGACATCTTTCACTAGATAATGGTGTTCAAAGCCCCATCCAACCTGACTTTGAATGCTTCCAATGATGGGGTTCCACAAGTCCTCTGGGCAACCTGTTCCAGAATCTCACCACCTTCATTGTAAGACATTTCTTCCTTAAGTCCAATCTAAATCTAAAGTCCAATCTAAATCTACTCTTTCAGTTTGTCTCCGAAGGGCAGCTGGGCCCATAGAGGGCCCTGGGGCTCTTTGGATGGTGGCAGGGTCCTGCATGGGCTCTGACAAAGCACTGAGTTACTCTACAGGCAATGAGGAGAAATCTCTGGATCGGTAGCCCTTCTGATGGTGGATTTTTGACTTCCCAGACACCAGCTGGGAATGCCAGAGAGAAAGGAAAAAGCTGTTCTGTTGTTAACCGGAGGCTGTACGTTGGACGGCAACGGACTTTGTGAGGTGCTTGTGTTCAGCAAAGCAGCTGGGCAAATTGAAAAGTGCGTCTGATGCTAAGCCAAAAGTGCTTCTTACCTGCTGAGTGAGGAATACCTGTTCGCTGTTACAAACTGGTGAAATTGATATAAAATATTAATTTTCTTAATCTTCTCGTGTTAGAGTTTTATATTACAGAAATAAAGTAGCAAGTAGAGATTTCTCAGATTGATAGCAGCTTCCAGGCGGGAAGGAGAGCAAATCTACACAGTGAAAAGTGATTTATCACATTCTCCTTCTGTTGTAGTCCGCCTAAATCGGCAGAAGCTGGGTTTGGTGTTGCAACATTTGCAAAGGTCTTTTTAATAGTTTAAAATGCCACTTGTTTCCACGCTTAGTTATTGAACTGCAGAGGTGAAGTTACGGTAATAAAGTTACTTTTTCCAACTTCAGAAACTATTAAAAAGGAAAGTCCCTGCTCATGTTTAAACTGAAACATTTCAAAATTCGATACTAGTATTACTTTAATAATGACAAGCATTAGTTTCCATCCAGTGAGAAGAGCCTTGAAGACAGAAACAAGAATCATCATGCCTTGTAAAGAGGCTTCAAAAGATAAGGAAGGATTCATACACACAGAAATTCATAAACTCAAAAGCATCGTGCCGTAAGGCTTAAAAACCCAACGGCTCCTCATCCTCATCAGAAGCGGCATTTTGTCATTCAAAAAGAAAGCTGAATCTACACCATGGCCTTGACTGAAGTTCATTATCAGATGTAGCTCTTCGAACAAACCAGAACTTGGAAGTGCAGGCATCTTCGAGAGAGCAGCTGAACACTAAAAAAACGCAATAAAGTAATGCACAGGTGAACATCTTGCAACTTTTATCAAAGATTAGGTTTTTTAGTCACATTGGCTTTTTTTTTTAACACAGTACTGTTCTTAGAAGATGTTTTAGAGTATTATCTTAGAGGTAGTTAACTAGCAAACGTAAAAAACACTGAGTGCACAAGGTTAACCTGTAAAGTAGGGAAAAAAAAATATCCTTTATTGCTCCCAGGTAGATCCCAAAGCCTGAAGCATCATGATTTCACAGGAGAGAGACTTGCTTTCTTCAGAAGCTCACTGCTCGCCCAGTTCAGCCTGTATTGAATCTTTTCCCACACCACATCGTTCGGGCGGGAGAACACCTACATCTGCTGCCGGGCTTCGACTGAAACGCGAGAGGTCACGCTCGAACGCGGCAGACCATAGCTACAGGACAACTAATGACCAAGTCGTGTAAGACGGCTTAAACGTACACATGCTACAGCAGACTCTGGCTGGGGGAGGGAGGATAGAAAGAGACCGGTATCGATAGAAAGAGAGGTATCGATACCGGGATGTCGTGATATCATCTGGAGGCCATGCTTGATACGCCTGGGGTCATTCTGAACCGGTTTGGTCACACCTGGCTGAGTGCTCACGCCTGACCATGATGGCTGGTATGCCTGAACTTAGGCCGGGTATGAGTTTTCCCCAGGCCGGTTTGGACTGCACTGCTTTTCGGCATCTCTAAGCTGTTCTCAGGGGGGATTTTAGGATGAGAGGGAACGGCCTCAAGCTGCGCCAGGGCAGCTTTGGGTTGGATATTGGGAAACACTTCTTCCCCAAAGGGCTGTCAGGCCCTGGCCCAGGCTGCCCAGGGCAGGGGCTGAGTCCCCATCCCTGGGGGGATTTAAAAGCCGGGGAGATGTGGTGCTTGGGGACATGGTTTGGTGGTGGCCTTGGCAGTGCTGGGTTAGCGGTTGGACTTGATGGTCTTAAGAGTCTCTTCCAACCTAAACGATTCTGTGACTCTATGAAGATTTCCTGTGTTTAGTCTATTAACAACTTGTTTATTCTGTTGGGGTGAAATTCCTCTCCTTCCATACTATATGTGTGTATATTCAGTGCAACCTGCCTCTGCCCACTGAACTTGACAAATATTTTATATGTACTTCTGTGTGGGTTTAATGTGGGTAAATCGTTACCAGCTCCTGATTGAGACCAAACATGACAGAGATGAATTAGTTTACATGATAAAGAATTTAGCATGCCTAATCCCCAAAAGCCTCGGAGAGAGACTGGCATTGTTTGACTTTTACAAATGCATCTGCTGGTGCTGGGAAGGTTTGGGATGATTATATCTGGGTGGTTTTAGTCAGTGGGATTCTCCTATTTTCTGCCGTCTCTAAAGCAGAAGAATTGCTCTTTGCGAAGTCTGATGAATGCGACATGCAAAGAGCCACTCCTGTTATGATCTGGGCAAACCTTGAACACATGAACGTATGGGGTTTTTTTGCCTTAAAAGTGTCATTCTTTGAATGAGTGTGATTGATAGACAGAACGGCAGCTTGGTGGTTAACGAATGGGATTCTAAGGTACTTCGGTTTGTTTGTAGCTAGAGGTTTACATTTTACATCATTTCTTTCTTCACTGGACTGGCTGTCCTGTGCGATGTGCCTGCCCCGCCGGCGGTGACTTGGCCCTGGGGGTGGCTCGGTGCCTTTCGGGGCTCGCCGGCTCTGATTTGGGGCTCAGCGGGGCTTTTGTACCTCTTGGGTGCCGTTTTTTGGTGGCCCCTGCGCTCCCTCCCCCTCCCAGACAGGCATGGAGTGGTTACAGAGAAACAGCTTCTAATGGGAAAAAAACCAAGAGAAGAGGTCCCATCAAAGCTGCTCTAACTCTGCTCTGATCCTAGAGCAAACCTCATGGGACATTTAAGGAAAAAGGGAATAACAGATAAAGCTTGCGTGCCTGGGGCGGCAATAAAAGACAGCCCCCCGGCTGGAGATTGTTATGAGCACAAATGTGCTGGTTTGGGCTGGGGTAGAGTTAATTTTATTCCTAGTAGCTGGTACGGTGCTGTGGTTTGGATTTAGGGTGAGAATCATGTTGACACCACACCGATGTTTCAGTTGTTGCTGAGCAGTGCTCACACTGTCAAGGGCTTAGAAGAAGGAAGGGAGGACATTCAGAGTGATGGCGTTTGTCTTCCCAAGTCACCGTTACACGTGGTGGAGCTGGCTGAGCACCTGCCTGCCCATGGGAAGCAGTGACTGAATTCCTTGGTTTGCTTTGCTTGCGTGCGCGACTTTTGCTTTCCCTATTAAACTGCCTTTATCTCAGCCCACGAGTTTTCTCACTTCCACTTTTCCAATTCTCTCCCCATCCCACTGCTGGGGAGTTAGCGAGTGGCTGGGTGGGGCTTAGTTGCCAGCTGGGGTTAAACCATGATACTCTTCTTCATTTTTCTCCTCATGTTTTTCTTCCTCGTGGTCTTTTTCTTCCTCCTGCTATTCTTCCTATTTATCCTCTTATTATACTGGTCTTCCTCCTCTTCTTTGTCATTCTCTTCTTCCTCTTCCTGCTTTTCCTCTGCCTCTTCCTCCTTTTCCCTACCTTTTCCTCCTCCTCATTCTTCTCCTACTGGTCTTCCTCTTCCTCTTTCTCTTCCTCTTCATCTTCCTCCTCCTTTTCCTCCTCCTAGTCCTCCTCCTCCATCTCCTCCACCTTTTTCTTTTCCTCTTTTTGCTCCTCATCCTTCTCTTCCTTGTCCTCCAACTCCTCCTTTGTTCTTCCTCCTCCTGCTCATTTTCATTCTCAGTCTTCCTTTCCTCCTCCTGCTCTTCCTTTTTCTCTTCCTTCTACTCCACCTCTTTTTCCTCCAACTCCTCCTCCTATTGGTCCTCCTCCTCTTTTTCCTCCTCCTTGTCATGTTCTTTTTCCCTCTCTTTCTCCTCCTCTTCTGCTCATCCTCCTCCTCTAGTCCCTCCTCCTCCCTATCCTCCTTTTGATCTTTTTCCTCCTCCACGTCCTTTCCTTACTATTCCTTTTCTTCTTCCTCTTCCTGTTTTCTTGTTCCTCCTCCTCTTTTTCCTGCTCCTCCTCATCATTCTCCTCTATTCTTCCGCCTTCTCCTTCTATTCCTCCTGTTCCTTCTGTTCTTCCTCATGTTCTGCCTGCTTCTCCTGTTCCTTCTGTTCCTCTTCCTTTTCTTCCTCCTCGTTATTCCCATTCCTCATGTTCATCTTCCTCCTGTTTCACCTGTTCTTTCTCCTCCTCTTTTTCCTGTTTTTCCTCTTGTTCCTAAAGTTCCTGCTCCTGTTTTTTGCTTTCTCCTCCACTTATTCTTCCTTCCTCTCTTCCTCTTCTCA